AAAGGATTTTGGCAATTAGAAGAGGATTGGCTCTCGAGAGGTTGGCGGTCAAAGAAACCAAAAAGCCAGATATTGTAAGTGATGATTCAAAGCACTCCACTTTTATGGACAATAGGATAGCGGTGCTGGGTGTGTATGCAAAGAGCGTCAATATGGGGCAGAATTTATTCTACACCGCCCCTCAAGCCGCCATGGCTTAGCTAACCCAATACATTCTGCTCTGCACGATCAACGAAAATGGTACAATTTACTCTTGCCACAATCGCGGTCGTATACTGAGAGTGCGCCATTGTACCACCTACTCGACTCCTTCCAACAGGCATACTCTACTAATATCTCTCGTAACAACGCCCTTAACAGTCCGAATTTCAACCTTTCGTACTGGGTGATCTGCACATGCTGTAGTGTTCACTACCACTCCTTTGAACCGGGGGTTCCTCAGGACGTGGCGATTGATGATCAGGACGAAGTCGCCCTTCTGTAGGTTACGTCTATTCTTCATGGTTTCTTTGACCGCCAACCTCTCGAGAGCCAATCCTCTTCTAATTGCCAAAATCCTTTTCCTTAATTCTAATTCACGTAACTCCAACTCTATTTCCTCCAGTAAAAGTTCTCTGATGGCATCGGAACGAGAGCGATCCAACCTTATGTGCCTGCTAGAGACAACGCTTAGTTCCCTATAGGCCTTCCGGTTATGGCAGACATCAATAATTGATTCACAATCAGGGAGGGGAGGATTCAACTGGGGGAAGATTGTATGATTGACATAGTTCGCATCATTGTGTCTCGCATGGCACTGTTTGGGCGATTGACACGCTCTTCGTTCGTCGAGCATCATTCCATTTGCCTCTCGCACCTCGACAGGATGCTCACAATATTGCATGTTCCGGAGGGTCAATATTGATGAGATTAAACAAATTCCAGATTCGATAATGGACCAGAATCAAGTACTGTTAATTCCTTTTCTGCGGAATTAGAAGGACTGCCTTCCCGTGTTAAACCTGACGACAAGTGACGCGCAAAGTCCCGGTTCCGATGCAATGAAAACCAAGACTGTCTTGTGATACGATACTATTAATGCGAATTAATCAATGATATGATAAATAATATACAAACCTTGATTCGTGAGGTATCTCGGTTGGGGCAGTCGTCAAG